TTTAGATAATGATCTACATTGTGACTAAGTGAAATATAACACTCATGCTATATAACATTTTAAAACTGTATCGTACTTCACTTCATAAAACTGTTAGAAAATAACGACAATAAGAAAATGATAGGAAATGAGGTAAGAGAAGATAAGACTCGACGTAAAATGATACAAATATCATTAAGTACATTCTCAAGTTGATACAAGAAAATCGTATTTTCATATAAATAACAAAAATGAATTTGTATCATATTGGCAAGAATGTGCTGAATCGAAAGATATAATAAACTAATTTTTATAAGTTATTAATGTATGAACCTCTACTTATATAACCAGCAATACACATACAGCAATCTATGTACACGTGAAATACAGTACAGCTTCTGGTCTATTTACAGTTATTATTCAAAATGTATCATACACATATTCATAATTTTTTATGCTTACTTCATATCCGCAAAGATAATTCTATATTTGAAACAAACACATTCTCGAGAGCTGTGGAATTCGCTATTATAGTGTTCTTATGTTGCTAAAATGTACGTAATAATACTAATTAACATGATCAAATATTTTTAATTGTTCATATACGTCATAGTATTGCAGCAATAAGTTTAACGAATCTATCCTATGTTAGTATAATAAACAACCTCTACGGAATAGTGGAATAAAGTGATCGTCAAAATACCTTCGCACAAACTGACAGTCAAATTGCCGGAGGCGGATGCGCGGTCAATGTATATATACGAAATCGAATATTTGTAAATCGATAATTTAATGAACTAATGAATAAAGAGTTTATTGAGAATGCCGCGACGTAAAAAAAGCGATATGATAATGCATAATAATATGCATATTCACATTTTTTGCCTCGTATCTGTGCATGTATGCAATAAACAATTCATATGCGTACATGATACAAAAATGTAGCCGAGTCTGCAACCATAATTCACGAATTGAAAGTATGTCCCTATAAAACATTTTACTTATAATATCCAAATCATTCGTTAAAACATGGAGAACTTACGTTACAATAAAAATTCGTAGATAATCGACTTCATCCTTAATCTTATATATCATTATGGCATAAAAATCTATTAAACCATACACTTTTTGAAGGAAAAAAGTAAGGTAAAAGAAATAACGAATTGAGGAAGATTCGAAACGATTTTCCCCACGGAACAGACGAAATCTTTTTATCAACTCCGATTTCATCGCGAGTGCACGCTGTGGTTGTCGCATTGTAATTTAAAATTTGTATCACTGGAAAATACCATATTCTTTTCACTACGCACATTTCGGTGCTTTTTTACGTCGTATCTCAATAAAAACGATTGAGGGAGTAACGCGCGTTCGAGATGCAACCGCAGTCTATTCGATACTGTCTCGACGAATGAGTCATACGACAAAAACTGGCTTCGTGAGTCAACTCCTTGACTCGTTATTTCATTTGCATACATCATTGAACTTGCATCGATATTATTTACCCGCATAGTTGTTCGATACATAGGGTGTCGTGCAAAGAGTACTACAACATATAAAAGATGATTCTACGTCTATTCCAATTAATCGAATCTAATCCATTGGCAACATCTGCCGATTTGAATGGAACTTCTAGAGCAAATAATTTTTAGAAAAACATTTGATTCCAATTTTTTATTGTTTATGCTGAAAGATTAAAAAGAACTCACGAAAGCGTGAAGAACAAATTAGGTAAAATACATTGGACTATAAATACGGACGAATAATTTCAACTTAACTATATACTTAAACACTCTATCTGTGTATTTTTAATAAACCATTTAAATATACATATTTGAATAATCTGTTAAAAAGAGCAGTCATTTGTTAATTTTTTCAGTTGAAAATTTTTATGCATTTTCTGAGAAAATCTTGTGTATAGGAATCATATGCAAACATAATTCGATTTTTGTTATTTTTTTCATTGTAAGGAAATAATGCATAAGTACATATTTCTTGAATAAGTATAATACATAGATTTTGCATATATACATAAAAACAAATCTCAGAATTAGGGTTCAACAACACGTTTTCGAGATATCTTGGAAACCAAAACGTGTATAAAAAATTTAAAGCTGACATTGTGTAAGCGGGCGATAGTGATGGCATCTAGTAGCTGTTGGTAGAAGCTGTAACTTAAGTAGAGACACCTAGCAGTATCATCCGTGTAAGTAACAATCAACCGCGTGATTTTAACTGCTCGTACTGAGGAGCTGAAGCTTTAAAAGGTACTTGAATAACATTGTGAAGAAGAACTAAACATATAGTAAGTCTAAATTATCATTTATTTGTTTCATAAATTAGTTAATTATAAGATTACTTGATATTAAAATTATGATATATACATAAACAGCTTTCATCGATTAATGTTAAATGAAATATGTATACAATATGTATATGCAGAGATGAGTAGATTCATGTCTGATATATGCATTTGAATTAAAAAAGTTATTCTCCGAATTTTCTTTGCACGCGTTTACTTATACGAAATTATTCACATCATTATTGTGTATACATACGAGTTAGTCAACTTTTATTTGAAATGTTTTCTGATATCACCAATGGTTTCAAAAATATTCGCAATAATCTATTTAAATAATACACTTTGTATATTACGATCACTACAAAGACTCAGTCAACATTTATATAAAACTGATCATAACTGAACAAATCATAGCAGCATGAAGTTCTTAAATTATGCCCATTGATGTGGTTTATTATATAGGTTATGTGACATTTGAAAACCAATAGATACGATTTAAGAAATCGATTGTTTAAATTGTTCCACTTACACTGTGCAGGGTAGATACCCCAAAGCTGAGCACTATATCAAGAATTCGTATATTTGTAACAAATTAATTTCTTTTTGTAAACAAGTTAAACATCTAATATTGAACGTATTAAACATCAAGCTACGGCATTCGATACTAACGTAGTATAAATTAAAACTACAAAATAAGATGTACATTCAACGTAACACATTTCATATGTTGCAATATATGTAGATTACTTCCTTTTATATTTGTTTTGTTGTTG